GGGCCAGCTCTGCTGTGTTGTGGGCAAAGTGCGAGGGCCACTTTCCTGCTTACTACAGCTGGGGAGGGCCAGGGCCAGTTCTTCCACTCTGATGACCTCAGGGTCAGCTCTCCCACCTACCACAGGCCATGAGGGGCAGGGGCAAGGGCATCTCTCCTCTTTCCACACTACCATATGGCAGATGAGAGGCAGGGCCAGATCTCCCATGCTCACATACCTGGGGCCAGTTTACCTGCGCCCCCATCAATAGGGTCAACTCTACTGTGCTGCCCAGGTGAGGTACAGACTCCACTTTCCAGAGTCCTGTAGCTGGTAAGGGGAAGGGTCAGCTCCTTTGCCCGCCACAGGTGGCAGGGGTAAGGGGGGAAGAGCAGTGATTCTTAACCTGTGGGTCACAACCCCTTTGTGGGGGGGTCAAAGGACCTTGTCACAGAGGCTGCCTAAGACCATTGGAAAACACAGATTTTTATCGACATTATAAATCATAACAGTAGCAAAATTACAGTTGTGAAGTAACAATGAAAATAATTTTATGATGGGTGGGGTCACTACAATGTGAAGAACTGTGTAAAAGGTTGTAACGTTAGGAAGGCTGGGAGCCACTGTCCTAGAGAAGGTCCCTGTTGCTATAATTCCGAAACTGAGGCTTTGACCAGCTCTCTTCACCATGAAAGCAGCTTGAACTTTGAAATTAATGATATGGAGAGGACTTGGAACTTGCTACTTTCAGCGGAGTAGATGGTTAGCTCATTAAACCTGGAATTCCTATTATGTAATATAAAACAAATGGTGAACGGGCCCATGAACATCATTTTCAGCTGAATCTGAGTGCCATGACTTCAGAGTCGCCTTTCCATGGAGCTCAACAGATGGACAATTTCTGCCCTAAGAATGATTACTTTGTGGGCTGGATCTGTCTTTGGGACAGAATGTCACATTTTAGTGTGTGATCTTAGAAGCGCCTGGGGTGATAGGCACTTTAGGATGTGCAATGTGGCTCCGAGCCTCTCTCTCGAAAAGTCTGAGTTGACGCAAGTTGAGAGGTAGTTTCGACTTGGTGCTGATTCAGATTCTGAGACTTGCTAATGGGACTGAGCTGGGAATTTTAAAAGTCTCTTTCTAATCCGAGTGCCATCACGCCAGGTGCTAAACATGTTGACTCAAGTAGAAAATAGGAATCCATGTCATGAAATTTTCAAGCTTGCAGGAACCCAGATTTGAAAGTACATCTCCACATCTCACAGATAAGTGACTGAAGTCTACACAGAGTGACTCGAAATGCTTAAGAGCCACAGTGGCTGCGCATATGTCGTGTTTGCTCTGAAAAAGTTTTGATACAGCAAAAGTGAAGATATCCTACTAATCAGTAATAAAAAACCCCAGAAGTGTGCTAGGCTGTTTTAAACATTTCAGACCATTGTTTTACAGCTTCATCTATTGCTAGTTATTTTTCATTCTAGATGAAGATAGAATTTCTTTAGCTAAGAGAGTTACATTAAGGAAGCGTGTCCCAAAGATATTCAGTTTCCTCTGCGAAGAACTCTTTACATACTTTTCGTAAATACAATAGGTGGATTGGTTTTTCGCTTGTTTGTTTTTGCAGGACTGGGGATTCAACGTAGGGCCCTGTGCATGCTAGGTCAGTGTTCAACCACTGAACTACTTTCCTGGCCCTAAATATTTTTCAGGGTTTTCACTACAATGTGATACTTACTCTACCTCATGCGATTAAATAAAATGCTCATGTTAAGGCTTATCGAGTCGGCCCTAACATTTCAATGCCTCAGTTTACAGACTCACGGGTAACGTTTTCATTGTCGTAAATAGCAAGGGCTAATCATTCCTTTTAAGCGTTCAGCCTTCCACACGGACAATTGCTTCTGGGAAGGTGGTTGTCAAAGTTTTGTCCCCTCCTCCGCAGACACCTGCATCAACATCAACTCCAGCGGGGAACCAGTCAGAAATGCAAATTCTCTAGTCCCACCCCAGACTTAACAAGACTGAATCTCGGGTCCCGGAGGGCTGAGCAAAGATCAGCCCTTTGCTTTCCTTGATACTTAATCAATTCTCAAGACCATTGCTTTGGTAAACCTTGGTCTTGGTATGTGAGAACAAATGTCAGGTGACTTTCTCTTCCAGAGTCTTTTTCTGCTAATTCTCCTTGTGATGAACGATGTTGTGAGGTTATACATCATTTCTCTTTGTAAGAGGGAAGGAGGAGCAGCTGGGACAATGGCTCAGTCAATAAAGTGCTTGCTCTGTAAGTGTGAGGACATGTGTTTGGATTCCGGGCAAGGAAGAAGGAAACTGGGCGTGGTGACCCACGTCTGTCATTCTGGGGCCGGGAGGGGCAGAGATAGGAGGATCCCTGGGGTTTACTGGCTAGCCAGTCCAGCTGAGGCGGTGAACTCTAGGTTCTCCAAGAGACTCTGAACATAATAGTGTGGAGAGAGATGGAGGAAGACACACGATGTCACCTTTGCCCTCCACAAGCATACAGACACGTGTGCGTGCACACACACGCACGCACACACTTGCAAGTGTACCCCCACCCAAAAGTGCACACATGTACCCCATATACTGATAAAGATAAGAAGCATGGAGACAGGTCGCTTTGTCGCTGTGTATATTCCTTCCTTATATTGTTTCTCTATTGCTTGTCTGTTGATTTTGCCTGTGTGAATACACAATCCTGCAGACACCCAGTTCTCCTGGCTGCATCCCCACCTGAAATGGTCTATCTCCCCTTACTGTTTTTCTGACTGGTTCTGCTCACTCACAGATCTTGGCAAGTCAAGACTACATTTTTATTTATTTATTTATTTTTTTGTAAGAAGCCCTATAAAAGCCTTTAGCTGGGAACCTGTGTCATCAGCTCCATGACTAGAACATTGAACAGTTCTTCCAATTAATGATGTGAAATGTAAAAGGCCTTCCCTGAGACGGCAATAATGAAGCCCTGAAAAACAGCCAAGGGACTGGGGCTAATTAAAATGCAGCAGGGTGCAGAAGCAGAGGTAACCATGGCGGTGATGCCACGTCTCGGGTAATCGGCAGTCCCTGCTTTCCTACACTAATTGACAGGAGATGCAGGGCCCCTGAGTGCACACACATCGAGCATTAATGGAGTCGGCTCAGGCTTCTCTTCCTGCCTGACTTATCTCATTATCGACCTTGAACTGGCAAAGGTCAGAGGACGTTGCTGCTTTCATCCACATGACAGTTGTCTGAGGAGCGTCTCTCTGTAGCGTCTAATCATTTGGCAGTTGTCTTATCCTGTACATGAATTAGTGATCTGAGGCTGAAAGTGTGGTGGATAAAAAGACACCGCGAGCTCTGGGCAGGGGACTTAGCGCTGTGTGTTTGTGTTCATCCCACCTCTAGCCCCGACTACAGGTGTTTTTATTATCTCCTCACAGAGAAAGAATGAGTCTGTGCATACCCATCACATCAGAGTGACACTTACCTAAAAATGCTATCTATGGAAAAATATCCCACCAAGGTATTAGTAGTCACAAGTCAGATTTTTCTTTTCCCTACCAAGAAGACATTGACATCTGCCACTGCCGGTGTGGGCTTAATGATAATAATGATGGATGTTCTTTGAGAAAACCTAAAATCAGTTAGTACCATCTCCCGGGCATCCTCCGTGTGCAGGAGATGATTATGGACACTATATGTAGAGGCAGAAGAGGCAGAAGCAGGAATACCTCTGCAGGGGGGCAGCATATGTATGGTCCACCCCACGATCTGCCAAGCATAAATGTATCGCACAACAAAGAATGCACCCAGAGAAGCCTGTTAGCATCTCTTTATGCAAAGGGAATGGGGAAATACAGCATCTCATTTGGCCAAGATCTGAGAACATTTATAAGCAACCCGTTCAAAGGGAATGCCTTCTTACGGGAGAGCGGCAGACCAGGGGAGTGAATGAATGAGAAAAGACATCTTCATTAGAGAAAAGGACTGTGCGCTGTGCAGTGTTTAATCCAGTTTCTCAAGGAGGAAGGGCATGGGGGGCAGGGAGGGAATTTTCTGCCAGATGCAGAAGGCTGATACTGAGCAGCAAGGGCACTCCCAAGGTCTCCTGTCGCCCTGGGTATGCTTTCCTATACTGCCTACTTGCAAAATTCCTATCTAGTTCCCAAACCCGTGGCAGAATTAAATCCTCTTTTAGATTTTGCCAACACTTCCCCCAAGCACTAAAGTCTGTCACCTCTTTCTGGTCACTTTAATGAACTGTGAGAACTTTTACTGACACAGCCATGGAAGAGGGTGTAATCATTCTCATGTATATCTCTATCGTGGGATCCGGGCTGCATGAATTCAGCAAATGGCAGTAGGCTTGGATCTTGGGAGTCAGCAGGACTGGGGGTACAAATTAGAGCTCTACTTTTTTGAGGATTCTTAGTCCTGGGTGATTGACTTACACTAGATGCGGTGTTCACATTCTCTGTGAATACCAGTCCTGTTCTCGGTCCCCATCTTTCTTCAGTCAAAATGTTTTCAGTCCTAGACAATGGAAACTGTAAACCAAACCAACAGAAAACAAAACCAAAGAATAGCAATCGTGCCGTCCCCATTACAGCTCCAGCTCCGCGACGCAGTGCTACAGCTGCCATCAACAGGTGCATAATGAAAGTTTGTAGAGCTAAATAAAGCTGCCTGAAACATTCACAAGAACTGATTGCATTATTCAAATTGACTTCAATTTATTTCATGGGTTTGGAAGCACTTAATCTCTGCATTATCTGCTCTGCTTTTCCTGGATGTGTGGTTGAGGGAGGTATTGTTGATATTTCAGACTTGTGCTTATACAAAGTCATCCCCAAACTATTTTTTTAAGTATGACTAAATGGATTTGTATTAATTTATCTGACACTAAAAATAATACCTACACTATAACTTCTATTCTTATAGTAAACAGAGTAGTTGTGGGTGCCTGGAGAGATGACTCAGTGCTTCAGAGTGTTTCCTGCTCTTCCATAGGACCAGAGTTTGGTTCCCAGCATCCATAGGAGGTGGCCTACAACCTCCTGGACCTCCAGTCCCAAGTGTTCTGACGCCCTTTTCTGGCCTCCTGTAGGCACAACATATCCATGTTGCCCATATAATCAGGTAACCATACATACACATAAATACAAATGAAAATATCATTAAAGATATATATTGTGTTTTAATTCTAACATAGAAATGTTGCTATGAGAAAATAGAGAAATATCTGTATTCTGTGTACATAGCCACAAGGAAATGGTGAAATTTTTGTTTGTAAATTTGGAAAATTCTTAAACATCTCTATTAGATCATATTGTTACCTCATGCAATATTTCTTAAAATGTTTTATTGTGGTAAAAGTTATATATACACACACACACATATATATGTACATATATATGTACACATATATGTATATGTACACACACATACATATATAATAAAATGTACTGCTTTAGGGCCTGTGAGATGTCTCAGAACCTACATAATACAAGCTTCTGCAAGTTGTCCTCTGACCTCTGACCTCCACACATGTGCTGTGGCTTGCGCCTGCAAGCATGAGCGCATGTACGCGAGCACACACACACACATGCAGAGAGAGAGAGAGAGAGAGACAGAGACAGAGACAGACAGAGAGAGAGATAAAGAGGTAGAATAGATATATATGTAAAACAATAGCAACAAAATAAATGTAAATTTAAAGGTTGCTATTGTAACCATTTTAAACATCTTGTTTAGTAAATACATTTATAGTATTTACCACAGCCAACACTATTCATATCCACAACTCTTCATTCTTGCAAACTCCACATTCAAAACCCCTTAAGTAATAACTTCCTAGTCCCACCTCCCCTCAACCCTGGGAACCTCTATCTGCTTTCTGATGTTAAGAAGTTGACTACTTAGGAAGTGGTCATATTTGGGATCTGAGCGGCTAGGAAATGAAAGAGTAGTCTCTGTCTACAAAATGGTGCCTACTGAGGCAACTATGTCCACATAAAACCCGAGAGAACTTGGAAAGGAATTCTAGACACAAAAGAATAGAGTTTAGTGCAGTTTCTTGGTAGCCACATTTTTTTGATTGATTCTGTTTGCTGCCAGTGAGTAGGGGTGACCCAGCTCCTTTCAGAGAGGCCTTTCTGACTCAGCATTGGCAGTGAAGTATGCTTTATTTGTTTAGGGTAGGGCTTCCTGGTTCATGTTAATTGCATGAACATCTCGGACTTTTTTAGGAGGCTGAGCACTTAACCGGGGTCTGTGAGCAGTGTGTTATAAATTCCTTAATGGTGACATAGACCTGCTGTGACCCTGGAGCTGGGAGAGTTCACGTGGCTCTCAGAGGCAGTGAACATGCCTCTGCCATGTTGGACTGGGCAGAGCCAACAGGAAGGACTGTTGGTCCCAGCCGAGCCTGCTTAGCAACTAAAAAAGAAGTGCTCTTGGTTAGAGAAGATTACCAATACAACATGCAATAAAGACAGATTCAGATGAAAAAGACCCCTAAATGGGTCATAGTGTTGGATAAATGTACATAGGCTGGGGAGAGAGTAAAAAAGAGAATAGAACAGTTATAATATAAAAGAGCACAGTCATAGGTTAAAGGAGTAAAGATAATAAAATAAATATTAAACTTGTAGAAAAAGTTAATAGAGTAAGAAAAATAAGCCATGTAAAGATGGAATATACACAGAGAGTTTGGATTATGTATAGTATTGTGTTTTCTTTAAATTTTTTGACTGTAAATAAGCTAAGTACAGAGAGACATTTCATTGTATGGGCTGCTAAGCTAAACCAACATGTATATCTTAAAAGTATCTTAGTTTCAAAATTTGGGTTTAAGGATACGTTGCTTTGAAGAAGAGGTTCTGCTTTTGTTTCCACAGAGGATAAGAACTTGCGTTAGATTCCAGACTAATGTGGTTCGATGGAACAAGACCCCTGCTAAATCTCCATAAATTCTGTGTCGATTTCAAACTTATTCTTCTTCTCTGGTTGTGTCTAACTACACCGGATATATGACATTCCATTTTCTTGCCAGCCTTTCTCTATCCTTCTTCTGTTGGCTTATGACTTCATCTCTGCTCCAGCCACTTGCCAAAACAAGCAGGCCCAGGCACTCCCAGATTCCTGTGCGGTTTAGACTAGGGAGAGAACAGCTACCTGTATCTATCTCTTGTTGACTTTTTTTCTGTCTTTCATTGTATATAACTCTGTATATATTCCTACTCTGGAAGCTCATATCCTAGGAATCTGAACTAAGAGAAACAGATAGACAATGATAGCAGATTTCATCTTGCCACAAAACTGAGTTTCCATTCTGGGTAGGAATTGGCCCAGTATTGAGTGGAATTCTACAAACAGGGTGGGAAGAAAGTGAATTTTGTTTTCTAACATAAAACCGCTTCAGTAAAAACAATGTATAAAGTAATAAAATAATGCAGGCAGACAGAAAATAACAAAACACTTGTAAGCAAGCAAGCAAACAAAATACCAAAGGGGTAGAGACAAAATGGCAACAAAAGAACTCTGAAAAATCTCATCCCAAAGGGATCTGAAAGGAAGTCAGGTAGGAGGTGACTTCCTGTCAATGCTGGAGCATGCTCAGTTAGATTGGCTTGTAGTTGTTTTGTTTTTTTCCCACTCTTTGGGGGGTCCAACACCCAGCTCCCAAATCAATACATGGAAAGTATTGTTACTTAGGAAGATCCAGCCTTAGCTTGGCTTATTTCTAACCTGTGGAGACCCAAAAATGTGAGCCTATTTCCACATTGACCAAAGGTCAGAGTTGGAACTTCCTTCTATTCCTTCAAGGTTATTGTGTTTCTACCTCAAACAAAGGTCCCACTTAGATTTAGATCAGGGAGATCTGCTCTCTCAGAGTTATTGTCAACAGGTGTGGCTAATAGGCAGACCTTGTATTTCAGGAATAGAGAAGAAGATGTTTCTACCTCAAACAAAAGTCTGAGGATTTGACTAAGGTCCCAGTTCCTTTGAGGAGATAGCATTGGATTCCACCCAGGAATGTTTTGGTCTAGGGTGTGAGCCCGACTTATTTTGTTCCAGCAACAGAATGTTTAACTATGAATGTAGCTATGACCTTCAACTGGTCTGTTCATTTCCTTGTATCATGTTAATGCAGTTTTTGTCTTACTCCTACCTTTTGGGGTCAGGGGTATTTTAAGCAGTTGGAAATTAAAAGTGGGCTAATTCAGTAGTCACTGGAACTCCCTCCAGGCACTACTTTCTATGGTTTCTGTGATTATTATTTATCATGTGTCTTCATATTCTTTACTTATATTTCAAAAACCCATGCTTCTACCCTGGCAAGAGGTATTTTTGCCAAGGCTGGTCCCTGATACTAGCCAAGCTTGATAACTTAAATTATCCCATTTCTCTTGAACTATGTTTTGCCTCTGGGATTTTTACCCTTCTCTAGTCTATATATTTTTCTTTCCTTCTTATTCTGTGGCTGGCTGTGTAGCTGGGTGGCTGGGCCCTGGCATCCTCCTCTCTTCCTTTTTTCACTCCTCGCTGTTCTTGTGAGCCCAGATTTCTCATCCTATTTGTTCTCTCTGCCTGGTAGCCCTGCCTATCTCTTTCCTGTCTAGCTATTGGACATTCAGCTTTTTATGAGACCAATTAGGTGTTTTAGGCAGGCAAAGTAACAAAGCTTCACAGAGTTAAACAAATGCAACTTGAAAGAATGCAACACATCTTTGCACCATTCAACAAATATTCCACAGCATAAATGAATGGAACACATTTTGAACTAATACTCTGTAACACTGGCTGTCACATGTGGCTTGAGACATGATAAAGTACTTCAGTTTCTCTGGAAAGCAACTTGAGAATGTGCATCAAAATCCATTACTATATTTGGACCTTTCACTTTTACTATCCTGCATCTCTGAGAGGGGCCTCATTAAAAACTAACACAAAATATACAAAAATTAGCCCATGGCTGAGCAATAATTATAAGACAGTGGAAGTGATGGAAAGCTCAATGAAAAGGAAATGACTCAATAAACCAGAAGCGTATTTTGAAAGTATCAAGGGGAAAATTGTAAAGATGAAAACACACTCCACTGCATTCCACTATCTGTCTGTCTGATGGCCACTTGTCCTCCTGTGCACTGCGGGGGGGGGGGGGTGGTATTGGTAGAGATGTGCAATTAGGTCTGGGAGCTTCTAATCTCTTATTCTTATCGTGATACGCATGCATGAAATTCTCAAAGGAAAAAAATCCCCCCAACAAAATTAATAATAATACATCCAAAGACACCAGGCCATGGTGATTCCATTAGTTTCCCCAGGTGCTGTGGTGTACAAATATCTGTGATAGCGCCAGAGAAGCTGACACTTGAACACCACAGTGCCCGTGGCTGATAGCACCCTGCTCTTGGTACTGGGTAGAAAGTTCTTCAGCCCAGAGCATGTAAGGAGGATTTTATATTCTTTATTTTATGCAAGAAGCTGCAGTTATTGTTGAAGGTCAGGTCAGAGAGCATGAGAGCATCTCGAGGAAAAGCAGTAGTGGTCCTCTGAGGGCTTTTTCATCTTGGCAATAGTTTACAACCATGTAAAGCTGATAATAAAATAATTTCAAAATAAATAAACAGTAGAGGCATAAGTGCCCTCAGAGATCCGTAAATCTGAGTGCATAAGTGCTTAGGGAAGATAAAACTTTTTCCTTGTCACATCTGAATGTGTTAAAGAGGGTGGAAGCCACATTTCAAGGAACTTAGAAACAAAACAAAATGAAATTCTTAAAATTACTTATAACTTTGATTAAACTTGTTCTTTGGCAAATTCACACATGTGAATAATGCATTCCGAGTACTCCTTTCCTGTCTCTGCCCTCTCTTCCCCTGCTCACTCTCCCTCCTTCTCTCCTCCACATTTATACCTTCTGTTTGTCCACTGAGTTTAACCAGGGCTGCCCGTGTGACCATGGGTCTGGAACCGACAATTGGAGCCTAGTAGACTCACCAGTGGGTACACAACCAAAGACAATGGTTGTCCTTCCCTGAAATCCATGAGTAATAAATACTTCAGTGGTAAGGGAGCTGTGAGCTCTGCCCCAATCCAAGACTGTTGGCGGACCCAATCTTACAGAGGCTCAGTGTAGGTAACTGAAGATGCTATGGGATCATGGCTGCCTTGCCTATGACAGACACAGCAGATGGGGCTTTCATAGCTTTTCTCTCCATGTCCCAGCTCTTATACTCTTTCTGCCCCATCTGCCATGATGTTCCTGGAGCCCTAGAAGTTTCTCTTTGCAATGAATGGCAGTGAATGCAGAGACTTATGATGGCTGAAGGTATCTATAAGTGAATGTTAAGTGTTTAGCCCTAAGCAGGACATTTATACAAAAGTTTTGTCTAGAAAGACAAAGTGGTGCTTAGAGTGACATTTCTGATTATTTAAAACATCTAGATGGTAATAGCAATGAATTCCATTAATTCTATCAACATTTTTGAACCCCAGATGCATATCAGGTATGATTTTCAAAGTCAATCATATCAGCAATGCTTACAAGATTTCATATAGCTACAATATTTACATTCTTATTAAGTAAATCAAAGTAATAAGCAAATATGTAATGATATATATTATCAGCATACTAAGTGATTATAAGTACTGAGAAAAATATAAGCTGGCAGTTGTGGGAGAGTATGGGATAGTTTTAGATAGAGAGACTGTGGCCCCTCAATGAACTGGTATTTGAGTAAAACAAGACTTAGAGTGGGGAGCTTAGAGCATGGATTTGGTCCCCAAAACATTTGAATAGATGTCAGAGCCGTCACAAGGGCCCCGATAATGGGAGCTGACTCGAGATGTATAAGAAATAACAAGAACAGCAAAAGGGGACAGTGAAGCCAATGAAAGAAGAGCCAAAGGGGTAGGAGGTGGCACTTTGTCTGGCGAGTCTGAAGATAGCAGGGTTGTAAAGACTGAAGTTACAGAGTCTAAAGATGGTGGGTTGGAAGGACCTGGGCTTTTTGTATGAAGTTGGTAGAATTTCATGTATAGAAATAAGATGATTGACTTACATTGCATTGGGATCTGGGTTCAGAATAAACTGGAAACTTCTGCTATGTGAAAGCCATGACTGAAGGCTGTTTTCAGGTGGGCAGCATGGTTGTACAATGAGAGGGAGGAGTGATGGGGAGGGGGAATTAAAGTGGTCACAGGAAAAGGAGAAAACTGAGTACTGTCTTTGAACAGCTTAGAGAGGGTGGGAGAGAAAGTAGTCTGGTTAAAGCTTCCTGCTAGCATAGCACAGTTTACCTTGTGTGCTGACACAAAGGCAACACTCCTTCTCTAGAGAGGTGTTTCACGAAAACCCGTTTAAATAGCAAAGCATCATCTTTGGCCTTAGTGTATGTGTGTGGTGGATGGAAAGACAATGGCCCCCAAAGGGAGTGGCATTATTAGGAGGTGTGGTTTTGTTGGAGGAAGTGTGCTTCTGTGGAGGTGGGCTTTGAGGTCTCTTTTGCTTAAGTTCCCTTCAGTGTGACAGTCAGTCTACTTCCTGTTGCCTGCAAGATGTAAGACTCTCAGCTCCAGCATTGTGTCTACCTGCACGCTGCCTTGATCCCTGCCATGATGACAATGGACCGAACCTCTGACACTACATGTGAGCTACCCCAATTAAATGTCTTCTCTATAAGAGCTGCCATGGTCATGATCTCTTTTCACAGCAATGAAGCCACAAACTAACACAATGGTGTTTTTTTCCTTTCTCAGCTGTAAACCTGTTTATTTTAGGACTATCACAAGAAATTCTGTTAAACTCCCTTTAGTCCTCCTGTGTATCCCCATGATGCAAGGTTTTATTTTCACCATATCCAGAGCTACGTTCCAATTTCATTGATTATAAAAGTGAGAAAAACAAAAGTGGGGAACCTTCACAACTTTCTTAGCAATACTTGGAAATTCAACTTGAGAACCACCAAAATTGAATGAGACTTCCACCAAGACACTGAAGGGCAGTTTCCCGTCGAGAAGTCTGCATCCAGGTTTTGGTGTGTCTTCTTCCCTTGACTCCTTTTTTGCTTTGAGCCTCATGCTTAACTCCATGTCCAACCCTCTTCTTGATAAACTCCAACTCTTTCATAACAACTCTTCCTGAAATTCTTTTCAAAGGTACAGTCAGGAATCTTGACTTCACCTATGTGGAGGTTCCTAAAAAGAACCCCTGAAGATGCTGCAGGTGGCAGCATGTAGCTGTGTCTCTGGCCTGGTTCCCATGGCTGCCACTGCTGATGTGGCAGAAAGGATGAAGGATGAGGATGCTGTCTGTGGTAATGTGTCAGTAAGTGTTTTCCAGCACTCTCTGAATGCCTCTGATTTCCTTTGTGAGGAAGAAAGTGGGCACAGCAGCTGAATTCACACTGTAGGCAACATGATGGAGGTTCAGAGAGACAAATGTTTAGGATGGTGGAGGGGAGATACCTAGAAAGCAGTGTAAGTAAGGACAACCTTACACTTATCTTGTGTATGATAACATTTGAATTATGGTTGTGTACTTTCCTTCAGTGGAGAGTGTTATGATGGTGGGAGTAGAGTTGGACTTTGTAGTGTTAAGGTTTGGCCAATAAATGTTGATAATTGATGCAATTAATAAACTGTAGGTCCTACAGCCGATTTAGCCTTAAGGCAGAGAAGGCGATGCTGTTCATATGACTTTTCTTCTTCCTCCAATTGACTTTTTCTCATTTTAAGTCTGAATTTCCATTGGGGAAAAAAGTCCCTGTAGAAGCTTGGGAAACAAGGCATATTTTCTCAGCCTTCTGAGAAAATTTAACTTCATTTACACACAAGAGTGTTGGAACCTGTCCTACATACTTAAGGGGGTACAGTACCAAATTTTCAGGCATTTTGCAAGCCGGTTATTAAAAACAGCTTAAGTTTGTTGTGGCGTAACATTTCCACCAGGGAAATCAGCAAGTGCTATAAACCTGCGGGGAACTGGCTGTTAAGCATTTCCACGCGCTTGCATTTGGGTTCTTCTACCTTAATTTAATAATTGTGAGGCCTACTGTTGTTCCCTTATCTATGATTGCTCAAGGTGCATGAGTGGGAGTATCTAAACCTGACTTCCTCTATGTGGATGCTTGTATTAGTCAGGGTTCTCTAGGGTCACATAACTTATGGAATGAATCTCATGCTCTCTTGCTATCTATCTATCTGTCTATCTATCTTTCTATCTATCTATCTATCTATCTATCTATCTATCTATCTATCTATCTATCT